CTAATCCACCTTAATGGCCAAGGGCCTTTGTACACACCACGTTTTTTGCCCTTTCTTGTGCTGCAAGTGTGTGACTGTTTGCACTAGCAGGTTTTCCAGATGCTTTAAAAGTCTTTCTGGTGCATTAAACTAACACTCCTCTGACGTAGTCTAGTTTGGCTTGCCAGGAATTAAAGCATCACATCCACGGATTTATTGTGTGCAAACACAAAGGCACTCAAAGATGTGTAACGATCCTCTTTGTCCACCAGATGACGCTGAGACTTTTTTGTAGCTCACCCCTTCAAATTGCTTCTGTTTTGTTTTTTTTCCCCCTTGTATGGTTTGCTGGCTCCCTGCTTCCACAGCTGCGTGGGAGGGCACGGGCACAGGGTGGGTGCGGGCCCCGGACTGGAGAGGGAGACAGCACTAGACTGTTCTGCTCTCCTGCCAGCCAGGGATCCACCTTAATTTATTTGAAAACCTACTGTATGTAAACAGATGCAACGCTCCAAGGCTTAATTTGTTTGAAAACCTAGTGTGTGTAAACACAGATGCAACACTCCAGAATAAACAAGTCTAAATTTTATAAACCCATTTAATTTAATGAGGATTAAAACACATGGAGTGTACAAGCGCCCCAAGAGCCTTATTGCAAATGAATGAGGAAGCAAAGTACATAAGAAATAAAGCAGCTCAAAAATGGGCCCAATTCATTGCTTGATCAGTGTCATTGTCTTGGGTTTCAAATCTTTGCTGATAAATATGAATAAGTGCTCTACCCCTGTGGATAGAGCTGTGGAGCCCAGCACAGCTGTTTGCAGCCCACCTAGAGCCCAGGCCGGCTATAAACAGCTGCGCCAGGCTCCAGAACCCAGTCACCAGCTCTGTGCCGGGAGCTGGAGAGAGACTGGGGTTGCGCTGCCTCAGGCCCCTCCCCCGCCGCCTGGTCCGAGGCACGCATGCACACACCGGTACAGAGCTGATGCCAGCACAGCAGTTTGCAGCCTCCCAGCTGCAGCCGGCCCCAGTTCTGGGTAGCTGCTGCCAGCCACAGAGCCCAGGCTGGGGGGCAGGGTCAGCAGGGCTGGGGGGCAGAGGGCAAGGGGTACACGCAAGGCATCCTGCCATGTACCCCCTGCCCTCATTTTGTTTTTCCGGCATGACAGCACTCCAGCACCTCCCAAGGTAGGCATTGTGGGGGTTTTTGGCACTCCGACCAAAAAGCGTTGCCTACCCCTGTGATAGAAGTAATACAGGCCTGTATGTGAAGATGACAGAAAACTTATCATTAGTCCTGGCTATCTGTTCAGGGCCCATAATGTGATAGTGTCTCAGAACCACTGCCTTACTTGGGTCTCTGTATTATCCTATCCTTCCTAACTGAGGATCCCCTGACGTAAGGGACAATACAGTGCAACAAAATGATACACAGTTATCTATTAATATGAATCTAGAAACTATAAGAGAGTTCAAGAACACTTTCTACAGTATTCAGTAAGACTCTATTTAGCTTCATATTCCAATTTAACCAGACCAAAATGCTTTTAGTTATACTAACTTCCTACTTTTTCTTGGGAGAAGATTTTTAATAGGAAAAAATGGCTTAGAGCCCTTTTGCCTTTTAATATGGCATGTTCTGCTACACACACGGCTTGCTTGAGTACATTTTACTTTTTTTTAATCCCTCTCTAACGGAGCTCTGTTAAAAACACTTTGCCATCTACTTCCTTCCCAGCTCTTCAAAACATTGTACTGAATAAATGCAAGTCCTCCTTTAAGTCAAAAAGCCAAAAGCATTGAAAAAGTCATGAGATTTCTTGCACAGATTTGGCTGACAGAAGCACCTAGACCTCCTTATACCTTGGCTTGAACCTGTAAGCATAGGAGATTTCAAAACTAAGATCTAAACCTGCTTTAAGGGGGTTTTTTAAAGCCTTGCTTTGGATTCTGTGGAACAAGCACAAATCCCTCAGACGAAAGCATCTGGAGTCATTTGTTAGCATAGTTTCAGGTCTGTTTGTTTTTCCTTTTAAATAAATAGTTTTATGCTTTCTCAGATGTATTCATTTGTTAATACATTAACTCACTGCACTTCTACCTTAAGTCCTCACAAATAATTCCTGTACGCACAGTTCTGATATGGAGAACACATAGCAAGGTTTCACCTCTTACCCATAAATGGCTCAGTCACTTCTGGATGGTGTTTTTACTTCTACAAACACTAACCAAAGAAGTCCTATGCTTATTATGAGAATTTGTAAAGGCCAGCCCTATCACTTACAGCCAAAAAAAGATCAAGGTTAAGGAAACCAAAGTAATTTCAAGATAGATTTCAAAGACATTAGGGCTGGAAGGGACCCCGAAGGATCATTCAGCCCCCTGCCCCAGGGGCAGGAAGTCAGCAGGGATCATAGGATCCCATCAAGATAAACATCCAAATGTGTCTTGAAGGCGTTCAAAGTGGGTGCTTGAACCACCTCAGCAGCAGTCTATTCCAAACCTTGGGGGCTCGGACAATAAAGAAGTTCTTCCTTATGTCCAGCCTGAATCGGTCATGACAGAGCTTGTGACTGTTCGATCTCGTCATCCCTTGGGGAGCTCTGGTGAAAAGACGTTCCCCCAGATACTGGTGAACACCCCTGAGCCTGTGCTTTTCCAAGCTGAAGAGTCCCATGGCTCTCAGCCTCTCATCATAAGATCTGTTTTCCTGACCTCTGATCACGCACGTGGCTCTCCTCTGCACCCTCTCAAGTTTCTCCACATCCTTTTTGAATTGTGGGGCCCAAAACTGGATGCAGTACTCCAGCTGTGGCCTCACCAAGGCCGAGTACAACGGGAGAATGACGTCCTGGGATTTGCTTGAGAAGCATCTACGGATGTAAGCTAGCATTTTGCTCTCTTTACTAGCCGCATCATCACAATGAAGGCTCACGTTCATCTTGTGGTCTATCATGACCCCCAAGTCCCTTTCAGCCATAGTGCTAGCCAGCATAGCACTGCCGAGTCTATAAGCATGCTGCAGGTTTTTCCTTCCAAGGTGGAGAACCTTGCATTTTTCAGTGTTAAACACCATCAGGTTCTCATCCGCCCATTTCCTGAGCCTGTCAAGGTCAGCCTGTATCACCCTCCTGTCCTCAGGTGTGGATGCTTTATCCCAGAGTTTGGTGTCGTCGGGAAACTTGGCCAGCCCACTACTGACACCAATGTCTACATCATTGATGAAGATGTTAAAAAGTATAGGCCCTAGGACAGAGCCTTGAGGGACCCCACTGGTCACAGCGCTCCATGACGACTGACTTCCGTCAACCACCACCCTATGGGTCCTACCGCAGAGCCAATTCCCCAGCCAGCAGATCATGGTGTGGTCGAAGCCACAGTTAGCCAGTTTTGCCAAGATCATGGGATACCAGATTGAAGGGTTTTTTGAAGTCAAGATATACGACATCAATCTCTTCCCCCTTGTCCAGGTGATAGGTCACCTGGTTGTAAAAGGAGATGAGACTGGTCAAGCAAGACCTACCTGCAACAAACCCATACTGGATATCCCTCGGGATATTGCCGTTAGCTAGTCTGTTAAGGATGGCCTCTTTGATAATCTTTTCCAAGACCTTCCCCAGGATAGAGGTCAGGCCGATGGGTCTGTAGTTTGCCGGATCTACTTTCCTCCTTTTCTTGAAGATAGGCACCACATTGGCTTTCTTCCAGGCACTTCACCAGAGAGCCAGGAGTTCTCAAAGATCTGTGCCAGGGGCTGAGCTATGATGCTTGCCAGCTCCTTGAGTACCCTTGGGTGTAAACCATCAGGGCCACCTGACTTGAAGGTATCCAGCCTGTCAAGGTGTTCCTTCACGAGGTCAGCTTCGATGGTGGGTAAGGAATCTCCCTCACCAGGGCCTCCCTGACCCACAGCAGGCAGGGACGTCCCATGGGGCTGGTGAAGAACTGATGCAAAATACCCATTAAGCAAGTTTGCTTTTTCATGGGCATCGGTTGTCAGTTGTCCCATCTGGTTTAGAAGGGGTCCAATGTTGCCCTTGCTTTTCCTCCGGCTCCCCACATCTGAAAAATGACTTTTTATTGTCCTTGATATTTGTAGCTAGCTGGAGTTCCATCACAGCCTTGGCTTTCCTGGTTTGCTCTCTGTAGGTCCGGACCAAAGCAAAATATTCCTCCTTGGTGGTGGTGGTTCCAGTCCTCTATCCTTTGTAGGTCTTCCTTTTAAGACGCAGGAGGTCCGCTAGTTCCCTGGAGAGTCAAGGGGGCTGTTGTGCCCTTTTGCTGCCTTTCCTCCGAAATGGGGTAGCCTTTGCTTGCGCATCCAGGATTGCTCCCTTGAGGAGCCACCACTCATCCTGAACTCCCCTCCCCTTTGGGTTGTGACCCTTTAGGGCCTCCCTGACGAGCCTCCTGAGCTTGTCAAAGTCAGCTTTCCTGAAGTCAAAGACTTCTGTATTACTGACTGACTTGCCAGCTTTACGGCAGATGGTGAAGGTGATCAGCTCGTGGTCACTGATAACTCATGTAATCTGAGCACTGGAAGTATGATGAATCAGACTGGTCAGAGGCAAAATATATTCTGTGTAGCTGTAGTCTACCCTGTTGTATTAATAACCCATATCTGTTAGACTTGCCCTTAACTCTAGTGATTCTGACCACTGCACCTCCAGTATGGCAATCAGCCACTAACAGGCAAGGACACATTAAAAACAGTTCAACACATGCATTCTGCCTAGCTAGCTATTCAGGCAGCAACCAAGTAGTTAACATACGTGGAAGCACTACAGTCGCAGAATGATCATAAGGTATTCAAAGGCAGGTTTTCCTTTCTCTGACATTGCCCCATCTCCTTTTTCGCATTTTTTATTTCACACAGGAGACTTCCAGTGAATTTCAGCCAGCCAGATCTGACTCAACATTACACAGAAAAAAACATGTACAGAAAAAAAAATACTCTACAACTATTGACTTCCAAGGGAAATGGAAAAAGACATGAAAACATAGCAGAGTCATACACTTACTTGGCCAAGTGGTTCATGAGCAAATGCAGCATCTGTTTGTTTTTCTCTGGGAGTCTATGAACAAGGCTGTGGATCTCTGCAATTCTGGATTCCTGATTCTCCAGTTCTGTGATGAAAAACAAGAGATGATTTCATGTGCTAAATGATTTTTACTAAAGAGTACACCAGGGCAGGAGAGAGACTCAGGAAGACAGCTGCCTTGTAATCCATCTCTACTCCGCTGTGGTCAAAATTCCTAGGTTCCTTTTTACCCATGGACTCCTTCATGATACAACAGACAAAAATAATAGTTCAAAAGGAACCAGTAAACTAAAAGGCTGAATTAATGAACTTAAGATAGAAGGCAGGAGCATGTCAAATCAAGCCATAAATAACCAGAAACGAGACCTATTTTAATGAGAGCAGCCCCATCTTGTTTCAACACAGAAAGCAGATGAATTTGCTTATATAATACATTCTCAACCCCCCCAATGGTATTCTTAGCACAATACCTGGAGACATTTTAGCAACTAGTCGCCTGTATGCCATTCACATAGCAGTGTGAATTGCATCTGTAGGGTGAGGGCTTAGGTCAGGGATGGGCAATTATTTTGGCTGGAGGGCCACTTAGGGAGTTTTAGTGTTGCTGCCTCTGAGTAAGTCTGTGAGGGACACATTTTATGAAACAAATTCCCTAATGCATTTGGAGCCAAACCCTACATATGTAGGATATCAGCACAATGAACTTAAATAATAAAGTAGTAAGAATACTGTCAAACACAGACTGGAGCAGATCGGTGCTACTGTCACACCAATGTACACTCACTTACTGAATTTGTATCAGTAACTACTTGGATTAGGCTTATTAGTCTCTTATTTTTAAAGCAAAAGTTATACTTGAAACAGCTCTATTGTAAGCACAGTCCTATCAGTATTAAAAATACCAAATAAGCACTAGGATAGTTTGAACCACTTTAACTATAACAGTCCAGTAAAACTGCTACAACTTTTACTGGAGACAAACCTTAGTTATTTCACAAGATTTAGACTGGAAAAATGCAAGTAATTCTAAACTTCCCCCTCATCACCCAGGCTTACTTTCTTTACTGTAAGTTGCATATAACAACACGCTTCTTTGCATCTCAATTTGGATTTTTTTTCTTCTTTTTATAGTATTTACTGAAGTCTGCTTATGTATACAAGGCAATAAAACACTAAGTTTGAGATTATGCCTTTTTGCTGGCGAAGGATTTCCTCTTTCAATAGATTGTGATAAGCACTGATAAAAAAAAACTTACTGGCTGCTTTGATGAAGCTTCTTTGAAACTGGTACATCATGAGGGGCCCAGGAAGCATTCTGGAAAAGAAACAGCAGTATGCACACACACATATTTGAGCAGTAACACAATAACTGAAATGCAGCTTGAAGGCTGCTATTATCAAAAAGCTACAAAGTCATTAAAGAGCTGAACCAGGCAATATCAACACAGAAAACTAGCTCCCTTTCATCAGAAGGGATGCAATATACAGATGAGGTTCTAAATTTAACTCTCATATCTTTTCTTGGACTAAATCATGTTTTTTCTACATGCCTCAAGGTACCAGGTGGCTCATGAACACCGAGATGCTGGGGCAAATGGAGTGTCCCACGGGAGCACAGAGGGGTCCCCGCATGCTCAGCGGCGGACCCGTAAGTGGACCAGAAGTACTTCCAGTCAACTTCTGGGTTCGCCGTGGAGTGCAGGGGGGCCCCACCCCCACCCCCTGGCTCGGCGACTGGTGCCTCCTGGGTCTGGAGGGCACCCAGGGTCCCCTGCAGCCAAATCGCCGAGCCAGGGACATAGGGGGGCCCCCCACACACTCAGCAACGGACCCAGAAGTACTTCCGGTCCACTTCCGGGTCTGCTGCTGAGCACACAGGAGAGGCCCCCCACCCCCTCACACCCCTGTAGGGCACTCCATCCACCCCAGCATCTCAGCATTCATGAGCCGTGCCTGGTACCTCGAGGTATGTAAAAAACAACACAAAAAACCCCACCAACAACAAACAAACAAAAACAAACCCCACATAAAGCTGTGTCTATGGCCAAATTGCTGATTCTCCGAATCAGAATCGAATCCTCAGATTCAGATTCGGCCGAATCAAATCGAGACAATGATCTGAATCAGCAAATCAAATCACTGTCCTCCGAATTGAGCCGAATCCGAATCGAATACTGCCCGCTTTGCACACCCCTAATATATCGCTGTTACAATTCCAGCAACTGTTAACCCAATAAACATTTTCCCCTTTAAAATCTTAGCACTTTGAAAAAAATCTTGTATAAAAATGGTCACTGATAAAATTAAGATATGGAGAACACTGGTGAGGAAAACGGTTATACACAGTATGTCATTCTAATGCTACTTGTACAATCATGTCCTTCAGCATCTCTGATATTTTAGCCTTAGGGGTCCTCTCAGGTTTGCCAATCTCTCTCAATCCTGGCCTGTAAAATAACCGATTATTCCAGGTTATTCCTACCAGGGCATTGCAGGATACCATTTGTACAGTCAAAAAAACACACAGGAGACTTTTCTCCCCTACCTCAAGTAAGTTTTCAGTGCACTGGTGATGGTCTTTATCTCCCATTCTGCACAGATATCTGTATCTGTTTCAGAGGACATTTTGGGATCTGGGGAAGAGAATCAAATAAAGCATGAATGGACCAAAGAGAAGACAAAAACAGCACACATCTCCCACATCACTAAAGAAAGGTCAACTCTGTGGGAAGATCCTAGTGTCCAGTTCTCATTGCTTTCCCTCAGAAATGTAACAACAAGTACTTTGATCCTGGAAAGCTGTTCCTGTGCACATGGAAATGAGTCAAGTTTGTGACCAGAGGTTGGACAACAGGATTCACTTGCACGTGTTCAAAAAACAAAGAGGAGACATCTTAATTTATGAATGATGGGACCAGTGGCTGTTTAAAGCATGAAAACAGAAGAGATTTCAAGAGTTTGAGGTACTCAGTAGCACTGGTGATAAAAGCAAGAAAAAAAAAAAAAAAAAACAGTAGCTACTGAAACACTCAGCATAATTTCTCACGCGGTTTTAGTCCAAGGACACACCAGAATACCCAAATTAGTGGTGGTAAAAGTGGACAGTTGACCACTGGTAACCAAATCCAGCTGTACCATACAATCGAGACAGGCCATCTCCTTGCATACCAAAAATAGTAAGGGCAGCCTGACCTCCAATAACATGTGCAGCTGGGTCTGCTTGCCTAAGGCACAGAAGAGCCTCAAAGAGCTGGCCCTGCCGTCAGTGTTGAGGAGGGAGTAGGATCTACACACAATCTCCAGCCTCTTTGCTTCACAGCTGTTTTTAATTTGGATGGGAAGGAGGAAATGAGGCTGTTTCATAGCTGAAACAGTGTTACACAGCTCAACTTTGGCACAGCAGTGTCAGCAAATTATCTGCAGGGCCATCCAACCTGGGCAACACCAGCTTGCAACTCCAGAAACCTGTCACCAGAGGAGTGCTCCTGCCAGCATGATGTTTGCTACTACAAGGCAGAGGCAGAAGTCTGGCCATCTAGTTCCCATTGGCTCGCCAAGCAAGAAACATCTGCAAACTTCCTCAGGGACCCTGCATTCAAGAGCAAGGAAACTTGTGGCTGATCAGCTTCCTTGTCCCAGCCACAAGGTAGAGGACTGATGAGGAAAGCGGAGATGTGTTTGTTCATTTTGTTTGTAGTAATGGTCAGGAGGTGGAGTAAGACCAAAACCTATTTTTAAATGTTGCTGAGCAATGACTCTAAGAAGCCAGCATGGCTTGGGTGGGCTATTGGCTTAGCAGAATTGGGTTTGGGTTTGTTTTTTCACCTCTGGCCTCTTGATGTCATTCTCTTTGCTTCCAACTTCCTCTCTGGAACAGGCTGCTCTTTAAAATGCCTGATTCATCCCTTCCCACCTCTGGAGGCATGTGCAGAGTTTCACAGAAACTCCTGAACTTCTGGATAACCCAGGCCTGGAGGCATGTCAAGTACCATCCCAAACCTCTCCATTCTCGGGGCAACTCAGCACCAAACTTGAGGACGACAAAGACGGAGCCTGGCTCTAAAGGAGCAGGAGTTGGCAAGATTTCAGTGTGGGAGCCACTCCACGAACCGCATCTAGCAAAAGCAGCTATTAGCCTTCACTTATGCCAGCCCTCCAACCAAAACAACTGTTATATAACCTTACAGAGGAACAGACTTGAAGAACAGGCAGCCTATATGGCTTTTTATAGCACAGATGAGGCGAGTCTTTCAGAGCTTAAGCACATCCATTTTAACTCATTTCCAGGCTAGCCTGTCCAGACACTCCCTAGCAATCTGTTTACAGAAGAAATTACTGATTTCTGCATCTTTCTATAGATTTTCCCTGTGCTGGAAGATTTTCTGGAGTTCAGAGCCTACCTTGTGGCAGTTTGTGGGTGCTATGTATTTGCATGTACAATACAGACTTCCCTTACCTTGATGACTCCTGCTCTCCATGCATGCGTGCACACATGTGTACACATGCGCCTCCACCCTCTCATGGTCATTATGCAAAGATACTTCTTTAAAAGCACATTTTGTTTTTTCTGTGAAGAGGTTTGAATTTATTTTCAGAACATTTAAGGAAAACCAGTAATTTCTGTTCTGCTATATACCTTCTGCAATAGGGGCTCACTGCGCTTGGCACTGTTCAGACACATAGTATGAGACACCCCCATCCCTGAAAAGTATGCAGCCTCAGCTGACAATACAGAAAATAAATGGGAGGGGAAAGAGAGGCCCAGAGATGGGAGAGTGACTCAGTTAATGTCTCACACAACCAAACCAGAGCAGAAGTGGGTATCCTAAGGCCCACTCCTGTTTGCAAGGCCTCCCAGTTGCAAGTAGCCACCATCTTTGCCCTGGAAAGGCTCAGGACCTTGTTGATCTGCCACTGGGATCAACTCTAGGCAGCCCGGAGACACCTCAGGTCATGTCTGCAGCACAGCAGCGCACAGTGCTAACCACCCAGCCTCCCCCAGGGCTGTTTTTAAACTTTACAAGGACCAAAGACAAATACCACTGTACATGCCACCATGAAATCAAAGGATGAGAGAGACTGCATTACACAGCTGGGCAAGGGAAGAAAACCACAGCGCAAACCCCCAGCTGATCCCAGTGACCCAGGGACTCGCCTTTTATATCAACATGGTCATTTTCCCAATGTTTCTGCCGGCCACGCTACAGTAAGTGGCTGATCTCCAGCACTTTCCCCCATCCAGAGACATACAAACACCGCTTCCTATATCTGACACACAGACACACAGGATCATAACCTTTAGAGGCTGTGGATGGCTGCCTTTCTCCAAGCCCACAAAGGCTAACTGTCCACTGTCACCTCCACAGTGCATTACCCTTCCCTGCCAAAAGAATATTTCCCCATCTAGAGCTCCTATGTAGCACAGAGTCTGCAAGGCACAATGTGCTTCTGATGCATAAAACAGAGTGGGAATTTTAATGGGCAATACAAAGAGCTTGACCCTGCAAGACGCTGTGTACCCCCAACCCCCTCACACAGCACAATATAAGATCAGGCCTGAACATGTAGGGAACGCCGGTTTTCTTTGGCTCCTCAGAGCTCAAACTCTACCATCCCCACTGACCCACTGAACTGCATGCACCACATGGCTGGAAAACCCAGCTTGATGCCTGCACCCTGGTCCTGGAGCACTTGATGCCTGCACCCTGCTCAGGAGCACTTGCCCACTGCAAACAGTTCTTAGAAACACTGGCTGGATGACTTCAGGGCAGGTTCTACCCCAGTGAAGTAATTTCCACTATCCTAGGTGTTGTGAGAGGTCAAACCAGAAGCCATCAGCAGGGATGTTCATAGCATCTCTGCAGAGTACAGGTGCAAGATATGACCGTGTTGCACTTACCGTACATGCCATGAAACAGTGGAGTTGAGAGCTGGGGGTTGTGGGAGCAGTTTAAAGCCACTATGGGAACTACTGCAGGAGTTGAAATGGTTCCTGATGTGACTGAGGCAGCCCATCCCAAACTGCTTCCAGCTCTGCAGCACACACCACTACATCCTGCCCCAAGCACACCTGCTACACAGAATTTATGGGAAAGGGCACTCACAGGACAGCCTGTGGCTGCCTACTCAGATCTGTGCCAGGGGAATTCTCTGGCTAGCTCTGCTGCTTGCAAACCTCCGGTACGAACACAGCAGCATGTGGTTGCCAAAGTCGCCCTTAGAATCGCACCCTCAGGTTTGCAGCTGAGCCTGGTGCATGCAGCTGGCTTGAGGCAGCCTGTTAATTTAGTCTGTTTTTATTCTTAAATGCTGCTGCCTGCTCCTCTCTGCTTCCCCCCACCCAAGAGGCCTCTGCTCCCTTTGTGCAGCTCCCCACCCCTTTATAAATTTCCCTTCAAGAAACAACAAAAAAAGTGCAGCTCTCTACACATTGGAAACATGAGGCTTCGGCCCAGCAAGATGTATTCCTCCAAACCCTAAGATCTGAAGAGGAATCTAGCTTCAAATAATTAGTCATCTTGCTGCCTCTTCCCTGATCTCTCCGAGCTAGCAACCAGATCAGAAGCCAGGTTTGTCTGGACAACACTGCAGCAAGATATTATCATAAAGCAGCATTTTACCAATTTCCATGGAAGCCCTGGTGAAACTTCTTAATGTTGTTACAACAAAATAGCCTTTGAAAAAGGAAGCAACCGTTTCTTTGTTCCAAAAAACCTTCCGGTTCTGGAACGTAGTGCTAAAGTTGCAAAGAACCCCTGCAGTCCTCCACCCCTGGGCGGCTGTTCAGTGACCTATGTGAAATAACCAGTCATACTAAGCCCATTTCCTAGTGGATATAGCAAAGTCACGTTGCAAAAGGCCTCAGAGCAGCTGCTGACAAAAGCTGTATAAAGATATGGCAGTTTTGGGTTGGGACTGAAGAATGCTGCCTGGTCGCTGGCTGCAAGGAGGAAAGTCACAAACGTTCCATTTGCAAGCACAAATACACAGTCCTCCCCTTGCTTTGGTATGGCTGTACAATGGTCACAAGTTTCCTTACTAATTTAAATCTTGTTCTCCAAGTGGGAAGATTTTCCTACAGCTTTCTAACCATGTAAAGGAGAAAATAAAACCCCTAGGCCTTGTTTACAAGCCCTGGCCACTATGTGAATACAACCCACATGTGCACAAGGGTAGAAACTTAGCCTGATTCTTCACCCCATTAAATCAATGGGCACCCTTTCATTGATTTCAGCCAAAACTGCTGCCAGACCTTACTGAATGGCAAGAAACCCTTAAGCACTTGCCCACAGGAAGCATATCATCTCTGTTCATATGACAACTACTATAGTCAAAGATCACCACTGGGAACAGCTGTTTACCCATCTGGTTCTATGTATTCAACTCAATGGTTCCTCTCTCTGCACCCATGTATAATATGCTTCTGAATTATAAAGTAATGGGTAAACACTGTAATTTTAAAAGTAATTAAAAATATGCTTTAAAATAAAAGTTGGGAGTTCCCCAAGGGCAAGGGGTTTGGTTTAATTAAACATCCAGAAAAAGCACTGAAAAAAGGTAAACATGAAAAAGTATACTTCACGACAAGGATCAAGCATGTCTCACACATTCATCACCCAAATTAATACCATCC